ATATGACCAAATTGCCTTCCAGAAAATTAGCCTCATGCACCAACAGTTGACAAAACTGCCTGTTTTCCTAGATGGTCCCAAACACTTTAAAAAGTAATTTTAATATTTTCCTATTTGATAGATAATATTTCAATTTCCTGTTATTTTAATTTCTTTGATTTTTAATGAGATTAAGCATCTTCTGTTTATACATTATTCATAATTATTTTGTGGATTATAGTCAATACTCATTATTCGAGGTAGCTATGTTATCTAAAGTCTCCATTAACTGAATTAGTAAATACTGAATCATTGCTCCTAGAGGAAATGTAGGGTTAGGTTCCTGTGACCCTCCAGTTACATTTTCATAAACTGATCAATATATAAATTTGTTTTATATGTGTTTCTGTTTAAAGATACCTTATTTAATATATATTATTGATCCACTAACATTGAATTTATAGTCAACAGCACTCTATCTCATGCCTGAAAGAGGCTTATCTAACAAACCTATTTTCTCCAATAAGGCACATCACAACCTTCTTGCACTTCTGCCTTGCCTCTACGCTTGGGGCCATTTTAAACAGTGAAATCACTAACAAAGAGTATAAAAATGCAGACAATGCAACACTAAATAGGATGCAAAAAGGACACACTTATAAGAGCTAACAAAAGAAGGCACAGTGTCCTCCTGTTTGACCTTCCCTGAGACTGTGCATACCACATGGCTCAAGTTGTTAGCTGCCCCGTGCATGTCTTTCAATGATCTCAAAAGTGCTGTGAGTGTTGACTTTGGGTTACAGATAAATTTTAATGAATAGGCAAATATGCAGGTATGGAATCCATCAGTGATGAGGACTGATTGTCTTCATTTCCTTTTGCCCGGTTTTCTATTACAGTGCTTAGCTTTTTCTTATGATTTGTATAAACAGTTTGCATGTTAGGATAGTATTCTTTTGCCTATCTTACTTTATAAATATTTTCCCCAATTTTGTCTTTCCATTTTACTGTTAGTATCTGTTATTACAGTGACTTTTGGCAGCAATGTCAAAGTGCCTTGTTAATGGGGAGGAAAACACTGGGAAGGAATTTTATTAAATTTCTATTTTGAAAGTGGTTGGTATTTATTTCTCTCTCTTTTTCACAGGTGCACCAAATTCTATTTGGTGATTTTTCTTTAGCACCTCCAAAATAGGAAAAATCATGTAAGTCCTATCCTAAACTTCCACTTTATATCCACGTTCTGCCTTTCTTTTAATTATGGTCTTCATATGCTATTTTCATCCCTTCCAGAGTCTGAGGCCATGTAAGGCCTTTCACATTCCTCCCTCCTTCCCCCTGTCATGTGCATTGTTACTTCATTGTACCTCTCCTAATTATAAGGATGGTAGGATGCATAAATAAAAGGAGGGAGAAAGCCCACAGACCTCAGCCACCAGAAGCTCTGAAAAAAAAAAGCATATATGTGAGAAGGTAGTGGCTGTTAGTGTGTATGTGAGGGTTTGGAACTACTGGTTAAGAATAGTTTAGACATACAGTAAATTTAATTTTTTCACACTATGGTAAACTCTGTTTACCACAATCACCTACACACTTGCTATCTCTTTCTGCTAGATGTGGGAATTAAAAAGTCACCATGTAAGAACCCAATGAACTATAATCAACAAAAGAAAGACTTCCTGAGATGTGTAAGAGCCTACACTTGTCATCTCTGGGGTGGTGTCAGTAGATGTACAGTGTGGCAGTGACGGTAGTTGTGTGTGTATATTTCAAATTGGTGTGAAGTTAATCCCTAATTTACAATCAAGTGGCAAGGAGAAAAGTAGAGTATTCTGATAAGCAGGGCTTCTAAAAATCATTTGCAATCCTTGTTGAACATTTCTTTCATAGCTGTTTTGGAAACAAGCCTCAAAGTGGGTTACAGGGATTGAAATTTCTCTTGTATGGTCGAGATTTTCAACAGTGATATTAATGATTTGCTGGATTTGCTGGATTCTGCCTATTGCAAAAAAGGCAGTAAGTCCTCAGAATGTCCTTCCCTTCTGGGAACCCACCCTAGGTGCCCAGTGTCCTGGGCCCACTCTCCTCATAGACTTGTTCTGCCACCCAACACCTACTGTCCCTTCTCCCCCTGACTTCAACCCTCAGAGCAGGGGTTCTGCCTTGTCTTATCATACTTTCTCAAAACCCAGTAATGGTCTTAAAAAAACAGATGTTAAAATGGATTCTTGTTATATCTTAAGAGTTCTGGCACTAGAGAATGAGTTGAAAGAAAGAATAAAAACTGGTTTCTTAAAGCACCCGACTGACTTCACCTCATTTAATATAAAAGTTACAACTATGTTTGTCATCCTATTACTTTTATTAAGATTTCTCTTTAAATTGACTTTTTAAAAAAATACCAACAACTCAGCCTCACCATAAGTTTATTTACAATACTATGGTTTTGGTATGCTAGTTAAGTGCATGAGAAAAAACCCTGACCATTAAAATTTTTTAATGTTATTTAAGTACCACCTAACCTTATCACAAGAACCACCACTTACATGTACGTATCACTTTGTAAAATGCTCATCTATGGGTGCTAACTAGATAATCTGGCAATTTTAGCTAAGGGATAAGGTTGGACAGTCCACCTCGGTTCCCTGTTTAATGGTGGCCTTCCAGAAATGGTACGTTTTTCTTGATTTTTCTATTTAGGACTTGATAACTTTTTTTTTATATCATCAATGTACAATCACTCGAACAACATTATGGTTACTAGACTCCCCCCATTATCAAGTCCCCCCCACACCCCATTACAGTCACTATTCATCAGAGTAGTAAGATGCTACAGAATCATTACTTGTCTTCTCTGTATATACTGCCTTTCCCGTGTCCCCCCCACACATTATGTGTGCTAATCGTAATGCCCCATTTTCCCCCTTATCCCTCCCTTCCCACCTACCCTCCCCAGTCCCTTTCCCCTTGGTAAGTGTTAGTCCATTATTGGGTTCTGTGAGTCTGCTGCTGTTTTGTTCCTTCAGTTTTTCTTTGTTCTTATACTACACAGATAAGTGAAATCATTTGATACTTGTCTTTCTCTGCCTGGCTTATTTCACTGAGCATAATACCCTCTAGCTCCATCCATGTTGTTGCAAATGGTAGGATTTGTTTTTTTCTTATGTCTGTATAATATTCCATTGTGCATATGTACTACATCTTCTTTATCCATTGATAACTTTTTTAGGGAGCATTTCAAGCTTGGGCTGTGGCAGGCTGTGGAGGGAGCTATCTGGGCTCACTTTCTTCCATCCAAGCAGTCCATTGAAGGTTATATTGCATGGGCAGCCAGGGACCTCCCTTCACTGACAGGTTGGTGAATGCTTCTAGGAAGGGTAGATGATTTCCTGAAAGTATATTTGCTGCTGGCTGGGCCTCCTGGGAGTGGCTTGGGAGAAGCATTAACTATGGTTAAATAAATCAATCCCTCTTGTGCATGGAATTGTACTGGTGCCAAGCAATTCCACTGCCAGTGTCCACAGCTGCTCTGGGGAACAGTTGCCTTTCTCTTTGAGGTGCTGGTTCTCTCCCCTAAAGTGAATTTTCTATGCCCATGGTAGTTTCTTTTAAGTCAACAATTCCTGACAAATTAGTGACATTACTTCCTGCTCTTGTTTTTATGGTACAACAGGCAAAAAGTACACATGCTACAGATAATATGGGGACACTTGTTTGGGAAACACTGAACCTAGAGTTCTGACTGGAAAATACATCATGACTGAATTTATTAGGCAAGGCAAAAATCTTAATTTTTAAAATAAAGGCTATATTTTGGGGAAGGAGAACAAGCATTGAGATGTAAAAGGTACACATTCCTGCATCAACAAATAGGGATTAAATAAAATTTTCAGCAACAAGAAAGGATTGAATGAGTGTCAACCATTTTGACAGTATTCTCACGATAAGAAAGTAACCATCCTCCGGTATTTATATTTCTGGATCCTATCTTCAAGAAGCTCATGCTTTAAAACTGGAAAGCAGAGAAATTCATGCCCAGCAATGTTCAGAGGGAGGCAACCAGAGAAAGGGTCTTGCGCTGAGGGACGATTAAGGGGCAGTAGAGAAGCAGTGGGTGCTTCGGTTAATGATTCCAATAATTCTTGCATTCTCTCTCTCTCTCTCTGGCTTATTGATCTGGCCCTCCTGATATATATGATAGAGACACGATATATGGAATAGGAAGGATCAAGGGGGGGGGATGGAAGAAAATACAAGAACCACCCTCACGTCCTGCTGGTTAATGATGCTGTGGCAATTTAATTCCCAAATCTGTGCAAAAAGTAACCTTTGTGGATGGATGAGGGCTGACAACCAGGTCATTTTTTCCTTCAGCTTCACAAACAATCTAACTCCTCGTCGGGAAACTCAGAAGTTGATCAATACTCCGTGTATAGTCTGAGAGAACTGTTACCATCATTTAACCGAGTCGGAAAATGAGACCACAAAGCCAGAGGCCCGGAGTTTGCTTAGTTAACGACTTGAAAGTACCAGTGGGCCCGGGAACGCCTCGACCTTAACAGGTTGGGTGTCTTGGACACTTCCCAGGGCTTCAAACGCCTTCATCCCTCAATTCTTTTTCTCAGAAACTGGAAGGGGGCACAAAATGATCTTTATGTCAGGAAACTGTCCTTTAAAGTAAATACTTGGAGCCACACTTGTCTGCAAGAACCACAGACGCGGTGTGGCCCCGCCAGCTGTGGGCCCCGGCGTCACGGAGCCAGGCCCCTCCGTCCGGGAGTCCGGGCAGGAAGGGCCCGGGGCGTGGAAAGGCCTTTCCCTATTCAGGGCGATCGCGCCGGACCCGCAGCCTCCCCCCACCCCAACCCCCGGCCCGGCTCCCTCCGGAGGGGCCCCGGGCCCCCAGCCCCGCCTGCCCCGCCTGCCCCGCGGCCCCGCCTGCCTCGCCTCCCCGCCGCCGCCTTCCTCTCCCTCCGCCCCCTGCGTCCCCCGCGCCCCTCCCGCCGCCCCTCCCGGGCGGAGGCGCCGCGCGCTGGAAGGAGCCCGCCGCGGTCCCGGGCAGCCACGGGCCCCGGCCGCCGCCGTCCGGGGAGGGGAGGGGGAGCCACGTGCGGTTCCGAGAGCAGCCGCCTCTTCCCACCAAGCCCCCACCCAGCCCTCTGTCCCCTGCTCCGTTTACTCCCAGTTATCAAGACGGCCCTCCTCCAGGATGTGTGTGGAATAGAAAAGGTAATTAAAAATCGCACCACCACCCCAATCCCCCACTCCGCAAACCCCGTAGTAAATGTTCTTTAGGCCAGGTTAGGCTAAATACATTCCCGGGAAGCCATCTGGTCTGATTCCCGGGATGCCTTCGTATGGTTTCCATTAAGCTCGCCAAACCGTGCATTGGAAGTACAGCCTTGGAGCCGCTCAGGAACCTCCGGAGCTGAGCCCGGGCCAGCCTCTTGTATAGGATCTCAGGCAGGGGGTGGTACAGGCCCCTGTGTAAGTTCGGAGTCCAGTACTTAACGGTCCTGGTCTTACGCTGTAATTAATATACTTTGCTGCATCAAGAAAATAAGAGTTCTTCATGTTAATGGGTATTATTAAGTCATTATTATTACTTTAACTGTATGCCATTCATAGCTTATAGAATTCTGTTTCATTTCTAAAGCTCTATTTTAACAGCTTTACAGCCGATTTTAGAAAATAGCCTAGCCACAGCAACATTTGTATGGTTGAGTTTATACCTTCTCCCTTGATGTCCCCCATTCCTCCACCCTGACAAAGACAAAAAATTATGGATGTTCCCTTCCACATGGGTTCAGGGCTGTAGTCCAAGAAAGAAGGGAACAGTGAGTTCACGGACTCATTGAGTGTGCTGTAACTTGGAATTCATAAAAAAATAAGTGTCAGTTTGTTGAGGAGACTGAAAGTGTTGGGGCTTCGGGAAGGTCACATGGCCTTTGAATAAAGTACTGACTCGGTACTTGGGCCTAAGCCAGGGAGGAGACCTAGACAAGAAGTGCTTAATCATATACAGCAAAAAGGACTTGGGTCCAGCTCAGCCCAGTTGTGGCGCACCCTCACTCTCGCCTGCCCTTTTCTCTGCAGTTCCCTCTCTGCCCTCTTTGGGGGTGTTACAGCCCTTTCTTCCTCCCTCAACTTGGGCTTCACTCCCTTCCTATCCCCTACCCCATCCCAGCCCTGACCATGAGATTTTATTTGGGTTTTTAAAATGAAACCAGGTGCTGCATGAAACAAAAGCAGTGCAGCAACAAGGAAAGACGATCCCACGCCTGAGGAATGTGCTGAGCTTCATGACTCAGGCTGTCCTGGCGAGGAGCTCTGACTTATGCAGAGAGGTGGGTGGCACAGAGCGCGGACCAAACACGGCAGCCCTGGCCACCCCAGATAGGCAGTCAAGGCGGCCTGTGACTCACTTCATAAAACCAGAGACTCATTCCTGGTGGAACAAGGCTTCCCACAGGCTAGAGTCAAAGGATCATCAGTTTTTCCCCCCTGGGCCTGCGGGGTCGGTTCAGCCTGGCAGCAAGGGCTACCTGGAGGGCTGGAGGGGAAGGGGGCCTGGGCAGAAGCCAGCCCTCAGGAAGAAACAGGCTTGATGGTCTGGGGCACCGGTTTTGGTGTATCGAAGGGATGAGATGAGTAACGTCTAGGCTGTAAAGTGACATGAAAATTAGCATGTATTGTTGGGTAGACAATGGTGGAGAGCTCCTGGTGGCAGGATTGCTGCAGACACCCTGGAAGAGGGAAGTGTGGCAGCTCTGCTCAGAGCCTAGGGAGTGTCTGCTCCTCGCAGGGTGTGGGTGAAAAGCACAGGGCAAGCCGATCGGAGTCTGGCGGGGTTTCTGGGGGCACCCTCACTAACGTAATCAGGAGGAGTAGCAAAGAGTGGCAGTAGAGGCTTTATCGAAAGACAGAGAGAGAAACCTTGGTCACACATCCTTGCATTCTGGGAATTCTTTTCAAATGAGCATAGGTCTGGGGTGAGGTGTACATTTTTTTCTGTTACTAAGAGACAGGCTGGGAGAGCTGAGAGTGCTCAGAACGTCTCTCCTAGAAGAGGTGGTGGGAGGGGTCTGAGCTTGGGTGACAAGGATCTGACACAGGCCTGGGAGGAAGGGGCCTTATAGCGCTGCTTCTGGCTTCTGTCGCCCCAGAGAAGGTTGTCTGTTACTCTTTGAATGAGAATGAACCTTGACTAGCATAAATGAGATCTCATGCAGCAGCCTCTTGGCGCTGGGCCTTATTTTTCCTTCTCATTCTCTTTTTCATTTCCCTCCCATGGAATACCCATTGAAAAACTACGGTGACCATTCTGTAATTGCAGGACAACTCTCCTTAACTTTTTCATTAAAGTCTACTTACCTGGAAAAATAAAGCCTTTTAAGGACAATGACTTCATAAATATTTACAGTGTGAACAGGTGTCACTCTGGTTCTGCAGGAGAATGGGCTCATTCAGGTTTATTTATGATGTGACACTCTGGTGAGTGACATCCGTCATCTGGGTCGGCCCTACACCCTGTTCCACTGAAGCATGTTTATGGAGTGATTATGCCTGCAACTATTTGCTATATTTAGTCACTTTCCTCCCCTAGCCCTCTCATTGCCCTTTTAACACCCCAAACCAGCAAAAAAGCCAAGCTTATGTTCTAGGGAATATTTGATCCCTAATGACAAGGCACAGGGGCTTGAACGAGGGCTGTAGATGCACTTGGCCAGTTGGGAGGCAATTAGCGTGGCAACGAGGACCTGCAACAGCGTTCGTACACTAAGGTGGTTGGGTTGGGCCTGTGTCTAGCAGATGAAGGCTCTCAGCTGGGCGTGAGGGGTTTTGACAGGTGGTGGGCATAGCCCGGACTGACCAAGCAGATGGATTCTTAGGACACTTTCCTTCCCCGGGAGCTTTCTCTGTTGGACAGGTTCTCACCAGCCCTCAGATCTGTCCCCATGCACTCTGGAGCCCTGCGGGCAGGGGCTGGTGGGGGCTCTGTGACCTCAGCTGTGTCAAGGTTTCTGGTGTAACCTGAGGCCATCCCCTCTCAGCCACCTGGCCCCTGGCTGGCGGGCAGCAGCTGCCCTCTCTCAGCTGTGCAGGAGGAGGGCCGCCTCTGTCTTCTAGCTTTACAGCTGCCTATGCCCTAACCTAGGCATTCCAGGCTGGACTTAGGCCAACTTCAGGGCTCAGTGCTTGCCTGTGATCAGCTTGGCCACCTATTGTTTATCCTGGGAAGGGCTGGGTCTTGGCCCAGAGGTCTGCAGTGTTGCCAGCATTTTATTTTTAGAGACAGGAAAATGTTTGCCTTTTGGCAGACGCTGTTTTTTGGGCACACACCGGGACGCCTAGAAAAGTTCAAGTGAGATTCCAAGTCCTAAATTCATAAATGAACCTCTCAACAGATGACTTTGTGGAGGAGTCTATGATCTTTCATTAGTAGGCCTCTTGTGCAGAGTGGGTCTCTCCTGCTACATCCTGGCAGCAAGAGGCCTCTAGTCCACAGACCTCATAGCCTGGACACCTAATGAGTGCCTTTGTAGTGTGTCGGCTGGTTGAAATTTTATAATTCTTATTTTCATTCATTTCCTCCTCTATCAATTCATAATCTAGTCCAACTTGGTAGGCAGAGTAAGAGAAATCATCAGCTAAATCTCATGTTCTTTGCCTCCCCTTAGACCCACTCTAATCGTCAGCATGATGATTGGTGTCAGGCAGCTAGGTTCCAAGGCAAGAAGTGCATCACTACGCTCAGGAAGTGCATTTCAAGTTTTATGGCATTATTACTTGTCCCAGCATGGTGTCTCTGAAAATATATTTTTGTGGGTCCTGTGATTTTGGCTACTGATGATTTATCTGAAAGCATTTTGTAAACTATAATGACATATTATGCAAAGGTAAAATGAAATAGAAATAAAAATGAATTAAATTGTGCTTTCTACTTTCCTTTTTCCCCAGTCTTTTCAAAGATTACTTTTTAATTGCAAACATGAAACATGAATACATTCTCCTTTGCCACTTGATTACGTTTGGGTTCATTTTTCTTCTTCCTGGAGTATATCCTCTGGTGGTTTTCCTTTGGTTTCCCTCCTTTCTCCACCAGAGGGTGTAGAAAGTAAGTTTTCCTGAGGGCCTGTGTGTCTGAGAGTTTATTTTGCTCTCTCTCCTGAGTGGTAGTTTGGCTTGCTATGGAACTCTAAGTTCGACTTTATTTTTCCTGAGTATTTCTAAGCTGCTGTTCCATTATTTTCTTGAAACTGTTATGGTTGATCTGAATCTCACTCCTCTGTAGGAAATCCGTCTGTTTTCTATTGTACCTTTTAGGACTGTCTTTTCCACCTTGATGTTCTGGTTCTATTAGGAAGTCTCTATGTGTGAGTTTATTTTTAAAGTTCATCCTCCTTGGGACTGGTAGGGTCTTTGAATTTAAGGGCTCAGGCCTTTCTTTTCAAAAAAATTTTTTTGTTAAGGTGTCATTGGTACACAGTCTTATGAACGTTTCACATGAACAACATTGTGGTTACTACATTCACCCATATTATCAAGTGCCCCCCCAATCCCATTGCCCCCCACACACTGTCCATCAGCATAGTAAGATGCTATAGAGTCACTACTTGTCTTCTCTGTGCTATACTGCCTTCACTATGACCCCCCCTACATTATGTGCACTAACCATAGTACCCCTTAATCCCCTTCTCCCTCCCTCCTTACCCACCCTCGCAAACCCCTTCCCTTTGGTAACTGCTAGTCCTTCTTGGAGTCTGTGAATCTGCTGCCATTTTGTTCCTTCAGTTTGGCTTTGTTCTTATACTCCACAAATGAGGGAAATCATTTGGTACTTGTCTTTCTCCACCTGGCTTATTTCACAGAGCATAATACCCTCTAGCTCCATCCATCTTGTTGAAAATGGTATGGTTTGTTTTCTTTCTATGGCTGACTAATATTCCATTGTGTATATATATACCATTGTGTATATATATGTACATCTTCTTTATTCATTCATCTACTGATGGACAGTTAGGTTGTTTCCATGTCTTGGCTATTGTAAATAGTGCTGCAATGAACGTAGGGGTGCATCTGTCTTTTTGAATCTGGGATCTTGTTTTCTTCAGGTGAATTCCTAGGAGTGGAATTCTTGGGTCAAATGGTATTTCTATTTTAGTTTTTGGAGGAACCTCCATATTGCTTTCCACAATGGTTGAACTAGTTTACATTCCCACCAACAG